CTCAAGACTGGCTATTGGCAAATCGAAGTCGACGAAAGACACCGAGAGAAGACGGCGTTTATAACACCAGACGGCCTCTTCGAGTTTAAGGTGATGCCCTTCGGCCTTTGCTCAGCGCCTGCAACTTTTCAACGCGTTATGGATACAGTACTGGCAGGATTGAAGTGGCAGACTTGCCTTGTGTACTTGGACGACGTCGTCGTGTTTTCCTCAAGTTTCGACGAGCATCTTCGGCGCCTTGAAGCTGTACTTCAAGCCATCAAGACGTCCGGACTCACACTGAAGCTAGAAAAGTGCAGATTTGCGTATGAGGAGCTCTTGTTTCTGGGGCACGTTATCAGCAAGTCTGGAGTTCGTCCCGATCCACGGAAAACAGCCGTCATCGCCAACTTCCCGCCGCCCACTGACAAGAAGGCCGTGCGCCGATTTCTGGGCCTGTGTGCCTATTATATGCGGTTCGTGAAAAACTTCGCCCGCATCGCCGATCCTCTCACTAACCTTACCAAGGCCGACTCGGAGTTCAAGTAGGAAACGCCACAGGAACACGCTTTCCAGGAGCTTAAACATCGCCTCCAGACGCCTCCGTTACTTGCCCATTTCGACGAATTCGCCGAGACAGAAATACATACTGACGCAAGCAGCGTAGGTCTTGGCGCCGTTCTTGTGCAGAGGGCTGACGGACTTGAAAGGGTTATTAGTTACGCCAGCCGATCCCTATTCAAAGCAGAAGCGAATTATTCCACAACAGAAAAGGAGTGCCTCTCCATCATCTGGGCTACGTCGAAATTTCGCCCCTACCTCTACGGCAGGCCCTTCAAAGTTGTGAGCGACCACCACGCCTTGTGTTGGCTAGCCACCTTGAAGGACCCTTCAGGTCGCCTCGCACGATGGAGCCTGAGACTTCAAGAATATGACATTACTGTCATTTACAAGTCCGGCAAAAAACACTCCGACGCTGACTGTCTCTCTCGTGCGCCTGTCGACCAACCGCTACCCGACGACTCGGATGACGACTACTTCTTGGGAACGATAACTACCGACGACTTCGCTGAACGACAGCGGGCCGACCCGGAACTTAAAGCCCTAATAGAATACCTCGAAGGCAGGACCGCCGAAGTCCCGAAGGTATTCAAGCGCGCACTTGCGTCGTTCTTTCTACGAAACGGTCTTCTACAAAAGAAAAACTTTTCACCGCTTGGAGCTAAGTACCTCCTTGTGGTGCCTTCAGCTCTGCGACCAGAACTCCTGCAGGCCCTGCACGACGATCCGACGGCAGGGCACCTCGGTGTTTCCCGCACGCTCGCGAGGATACAAGAAAGGTACTACTGGCCACGTCTTACCACCGACGTCACTCGTTACGTGAGGACATGCCGGGACTGTCAGCGACGCAAGACACCGCCGACAAGGCCAGCGGGACTTCTGCAGCCAATTGATCCACCTTGCCGAGCTTTCCAGCAGATTGGTATGGACCTACTGGGGCCGTTCCGGACGTCGACTTTCGGAAACAAGTGGATTGTGGTAGCTACCGACTACCTCACCCGCTACGCCGAGACAAAAGCCCTGCCAAAAGGCAGTGCATCCGAGGTAGCTAAGTTCTTCGTCGAAAATATTGTCCTACGTCACGGCGCCCCGGAGGTCCTTATCACCGACAGAGGAACGGCATTCACTGCCGACTTAACTCAAGCGATCTTGGCATACAGCCAAACAAACCACCGCCGGACGACAGCGTACCACCCACAGACCAACGGCCTCACTGAGCGGCTTAACAAGACGATCGCCGACATGCTGTCAATGTACGTCGATGTCGAACACAAGACGTGGGACGCCATTCTTCCGTATGTGACCTTCGCATACAATACGGCGGTGCAGGAGACGACGCAGATATCTCCATACAAATTGGTCTACGAAAGGAGCTCGGCAACGACGCTCGATGCCATGTTACCCAACGTCACCGACGAAGAAAACCTCGATGTGAGCGAGTACCTTCAACGCGCCGAAGAAGCCCGACAACTTGCGCGTCTCCGTATCAAGAATCAACAGACGACTGACAGCCACCGTTACAACCTTCGACGACGCTTCGTGGAATACCAGCCCGGTGAACGTGTTTGGGTGTGGACGCCGATACGCTGACGTGGACTAAGTGAAAAGCTTCTGCAACGGTACTTCGGACCGTACAAGGTGGTTCGACGTCTCGGCCCACTTGATTACGAGGTTGTCCCCGACGGCATTAGAACTCTCAACGATGCCGATCGCGACCTGAAGTCGTCCATGTCGCGCGCCTCAAGCCGTTTCATGCACGTTAACAAACTGAAACAGTGTTTTTTGTATTATTATTGTATTGTAATTTATTCATTGTACTTTCTTGCATTATTATTGTACCCTCATTTTTAGTTAAAGCATCGGGACGATGCCTTTTTTCAGAGGGGGGCAATGCCACGTTCCATTTCACAAGTTTTTGTTATCGTTCCGAAACACCACACGATTCTTGGCGCAAACCACGCCTGCAGGTTTCGAGAAGGTTCCGGACTGTAGTAGATCATTTCGATAAGATCACGCCCACTGTGGGAACGGTACAGATTGTTCTGGAACCTACGCCACCACCAGCGATAACGCTAGAACATTCGACGGCAAGGGTATAAATGCCGACGCGCTTCGCCGCTTGTCAGTTGTTGATCGAAGGCCGACGCTGCGTTCGCCGCTATCAGTCCGAGACTGCTATCTGTGCAAGACTGCTGCTGTAATTAGACTTTCCCTTTACCGGGCACAGGTTTGCCCAAATAAACAGTTAAATCCCAACACGAAGTTTCCTGTCTTTGGCCACGTCACGACCCCGTGACAATATGACTTTCGTGATATGCAAACCCTATGAAAGATCGTTGCAGAGTGTGATCCCCAGATATTTAAAAGAATTAACAGTTTCAACTGGAACATTACTGATGGAATATGGAAAAACAAGTGGAGAACGGCGGTGGGTGAAGGATAAGGCTTTGCATTTGTGAGGGTTAAGTTCCATTAGCCAATCATCGCACCATTGTTTTACATTGTTAAGATCACTCTGTAGAGCTGATTGATCAGAAGCGTTACAAAGAGTGTGGTAAATAACACAATCGTCGGCAAACATTTGGATTTTACAGGATACATGAGTTGGGAGATCGTTAATAAATATCAGGAATAAAATCGGGCCCAGAACCGACCCCTGCGGGACACCAGATGTTACCGAAAGTGAAGTAGAGGTAGCATTGTTAACAAAGACAGCTTGAGTGCGGTTACTTAAAAATTCTTGGATCCACTTTAGGACGTCGGGGTGTAGGTTTAAGCGGGAAAGTTTCAACAGAAGGCATCTATGGGGCACTTTATCAAATGCCTTCGCAAAGTCCAGGAATATGGCATCAGTCTGTCTGTTAGAATCCAAGTTAATATGCAAGTCGTGCGAAAACATAGCCAGTTGAGTCTCGCACGACAAACCTTTGCGAAAGCCTTGCTGTGCGGAATTGAAAAAGTTATTTGAGTCTAGGAAGTCCATAATCCGGGTGTAGATGACATGTTCGATGATTTTGCATAAAATGCTGGTTAATGAAATTGGTCGGTAATTGAGGGGTGACTCTCTAATACCCGATTTGAATACTGGGGTGATATTTCCGTGTCTCCAATCACTAGGAAGCTCACCCGTGGAAAGAGACTGCGAGTAAAGTAGACACAAAAATTTTGCACAGATCTGTTGAGTGTTCTTCAGAAATTTCGAATTTATGTTGTCGATACCTGATGATGAAGATAATTTAAGTTTATCAATGATTGCCAAAACTCCGGGGTTCAACAAAAAGGATTGGCGGCATGGAAGTACTGACTACTGTAGGCTGTGGCGAGGGTGGAACGTCAGTTTCTTTGCTAAAAAACCGATGAGAAAGCTCTATTAAACAGGTCGGCACATTCCGAGTCAGTGGCCACGTCACCTGCTTCATTAGTGAGAGTAATAGTGCACGAGTGGTTGGGATTTATGACCTGCCAAAATTTTCTAGGGTTACTAGCAAGCAATTTCGGTAAGTGAGTGTGAAAAAAAGAATGCTTAGCGTTTCGTATTGCCGTGAGGTAAGCTTTTTCAGCAGCATAATATTTTAACCATGCGTTTTCGATATTCTGCTGCTTGGCGGAACGAAAAAGGCGTTTTTTCTTATTTTCTAATTTTTTGAGCGTTTTAGTAAACCATGGTTTTTGGGAACAGGCACGGAAACTGAGCTTAGGAATGAATTTTTCGACCAGTGTATCACATGTATCCTTGAATAACTTCCAGTTATCATGCACCGTGCGATAAAGAAAATTATTTTTGAATATTGGAAGAAAACAGTTTAATTCATCATTTATAGCAGTGTAGTTTTCTTTATCATATAGTCGTATGGTTTTTTTGGTGGTTCGTTGTTTTGGAGGAGTGATTAAAATATCGGCTTGAATTACTACTTACTGCCAGTTGTAAAGCAACATTTTCACACATTGAGACGGGTGTGTGTGTTGTGCTCTTATGATGATCATGTACAAGAATAATGTGTGCTCCCTTTGTGTTCATGCACGACAGTTTTTGTATCCCGTCACTGCTTGCTGAACTGCAATTGGCTGGGAAGCTTAGTCAAGCTCACAACAGCTTTTCTTCCCATGCCCTCTACTTCTCGAAGTGGCAAATAATGACTGATTGATTGTTAGTTGGCATTAGCCATTTGATTTCGTTCAGTGCTTGCAGGCAAGTCCAGTAAATACAATAGCCCTGGTACAACAGTCACCGTTCTCGGACTGTTCACAAATTGTAGAGTTTCGTACGTCGACATGCTTTTTTGCACATAGTAGTTGTGTTCAGGCTTTTCTCTGTATGTTCGCTAGTTGTGCCGAGTGCCAGCTCACCGCGACGTTATCCTTCCAGGGTCACTTCCTTCGGCCACCGGCGAGTTCCTTCACCGACGCGGAGCTTGGCATCCCTCCGGACGACGAAGACTAGACTGCTGCATCCGCTTTAGATGTTTTCTGCCAGCATCTACTGGCGCATAACGGAATTAAAGGTTATTGTTTCATAGTGTAGTGGCCCCGAATTTCTTGCATATCTGTGTGCAGAAATGCTGATGTCACACCGGCCGCTCCGCCGTTATCGAGGGGCGCTTTGTCGCACAGGACAGTCCATTCGGACAGTACAGTCTATCGTCTGCCATGTACAGAGCGGTCTTTTTGTAGAAGTAGTAGTGCCACACTCCAGCTAGAAAAAAAAAAATGGTCAAGGGTGAGTTGTCAAACGAAAATTTGAAAGAAGGAAAACGCAACTTGCCAATCACTCCAAAAGCTATCACCATATCTCTTCTCAAATCTACACCATCTTTTTATAGGTTTTGATATTGCTTCTCATATCCTGTCACTGCTTGCTGTACCGTAATTGGCTGGGGAGCTTAGCCAAGCTCACAACAGCTTTTCTTCCCATGCTCATCTTTTTTTGTCCATCTGGGTTTTGGCATCCCTCCGGGATGCCAAAACCCAGATGGACAAATTTCTGAGCAGTAAAGTTGGAAAAGGCTTGTGCAGATGAGACAACTGATGGTTAATCGGCCCTACGCAGCTGCTGTAACTTGGCTCATAAGCCATCCTATAAGCCTAACCTGTGTACCCTGCCAGTGAAGCTCATCGTATCACCCAAGGAGAGTGTAATTGGGCTCACGGTGAAAATCCTTTGCCCTGCTGCAGATTAGGCTTGCAGTAATTTTCTTATTATGCTGGTGTCTATATTTAAGCTGCTTGTTTAAATTCCACACTACATGTTTAGGGCCACATTGAAAAATTTCATAATTTTCTAGTGCTGCTTTTAGTGACACCATGCGCTTCATTTAATTTTATTCATAGATACTGTGATCTTGTGAAAGATTTTGGCAACATGGTACATATGTAGGTGCATAAAAACAGAAATATAACAAGGAGAAACAATATATTTGTTCGCAAAAGTGGTTTGAAAAACAAAACAAAAAGGCAAGTGACGTTATAACAACATTAAATCAACAAGACGAATTAGGATGAGTAAAATACACGAAAAATATTGAAGCCAGACAAGAAAAATGCTTCCTATCAAAGGTGTGATTTAAAGTGCCATAGTAGTTCTGTGTGACAGTTATCGGACAATTTTGTTTCAATTCACTATGGTTCTAGTTTGAAACAGTTGACACGTATCTTGAATGGAGTAACAGCTATTATCATACAATCACTCGTCACACAGTCACAGTTATTGCCTATTATCACACAGTCAGGCGCAGTTCATCTATACTTTGAATAAGGCACGTTACACAATAATCCACACTTACAAAACTCTTGTACAATGTGCAGTCTGTGAAAGCAACTACTCAAAACAAAATGATAACTATTAAAGCTGCAAGTCCCTAATTTTCAAGTAGCAACCATGATATGCAGCAAGATTTATGGCAGTAGGCGATTGCATGAAGAATGTGTGACAATGTTCGACTGCTGAGAGTACAGCGTCGTTACCAAATCTTTGAAGTGTGAACAGTGTGACATCAGTGGCTTTGGTTTGCCAAGAGTGCCGCAGTCGCTCGGCTGACCCGTCTTCATTGATCTCCTGGTAAAAAAAAAAATCATAAACAAAAATTGTTGCACCACTTGGTAATTGTATGAAAATTGAAAAGTTTGCATCATCCCATCCAAAATGATTTAGCTGACACAAACTCTAGGTATTTAGGCTTCTGCGAATATTACGAATGCTTCGAATGTTCAAACGATTGGTAGAGTATTTCGAATTTAAATCATTGAAAATTTTCGAAGTATTCGCAATGAATGCATAGGTAAAATTTTTCCACATCTAATCGCATGTAAAGGTGGATTCGCTGCATGTAGTGTTGCTAAGCCGTGAGACCACCTATTTATTAAAAGAATCCCCTCTGCCCCCCTTCAAATTTAAAGGGGTCTTGCTGCCGATCAGAAGTCGAGGCTACCGAAAACACGCGAGCCTAATACTATAGGGCAGCATGCGGCGTGAAGTTGACAATAAACTTCTCAAAGTCAGCTAAAGAATTGCTCTCGTCTCTCAAAAAACATTTGTCACAGCCATTGGCTGATTCGAGTATGGCGCATCGCGCTTGGACGTTACTGGGGCCGCCGCGGCAGGCTGCCACTTGTCAACGTGCATGTGGGCGATCACACTGAAACGCCGTGCACTAGAAGAAGAAAAACAGAAAAAGTGCTTATGGTTACGAGGCGCACATGATGTATTTGCTTTTCTCATGCCTTCCCCCCCTGCTTGGCTTCCAGTGCTTTCGTCGCAACGAGAAGAGAGAATGCAATTGCAGCGTGCGACAAATCTTTCGCAACTCTGCTCGTACTGCACGAATTCTGAAAATTTTGCGGCGGTGAATTTGTGAGGAGCTTACTTAGTGAACCCATTCCATAGCTACATGAAAAAGTGTTGCAGGGCCCCTTTCAATGAACATATTGCCCTCAAATCAGTTAATCATTTCATTAGGCTTCAAAGCTTGTTTGGACAGCTTATATGCTCAGATGTATAATTAATTTTATATGTCACATATTTTACAGGCTGTCAGTCGCATTTTACCGAAACTCAAATCTTGTTACTACTCAAAGTTGTTAGCACTTCTTTTGAACGAAAGAAAAAAGGGCATTTGCATACAGCCCTTATTTAATTTTAACAAAGAATATGTATATATATATATATATATATATATATATATATATATATATATATATATATATATATATATATATTGAAGTTTGAATTCAAGTTATTCGACCAAAATCACTATTCGTTTTGAACCTAAAATTCACTATTCGCACAAGCTTACTGGTATTGCTCAATTATATTCTGAACTATTTTTAGAGCGACACTTTTGGAAAGCTTTGAAGAAAAAAATCGCAGAATATTTACGGAATTGATGATGATGAGAGGGACGAAGCGTCCATCAATCTGTCTGTGGGCCCGTCCATCCGTACGAAAGCACAAACAGATTGACGGATGCTTTGCCCCACTCATCACCATTCATTCCGTGGATATGCTGTGATTTTTTTATCATATATTCATCATACACAAGTACCGCCATCCAGCGGCCAATCCAAAAACTAAACGAGAGTATGTACCACATTTCTGCTGTCAGCGCTTTGTTAACACTGAAAGCGTGATAACGACGCCATGCCTACGTCTTTTGTAACATGTGGACATGTGCCACAGGTTACGCATTACAACGGGGGTCGCACAAGCCACGCCATAAGGAGCTTCGCCCCTAGAAAAAAGCGTAGCTTGCCCAAAGTTGTGCAAGGTGTAAACTACAAATGGCAGACGATTCTGAAGTTTAATACAGTTGCTCATAGGTTGTTTCCAGGCTGTATCGCTAGGTCATGCTAGGCTGTTTCTTCATTGCTTCTCAGTTCACAGAAAGTTTGAGTCAAATCAGAAAGGTGCGACATAGATTTCAAGACTCCAGACACAAAAACTAAGGGATCCTTAATCTTCGTTTTTATTTACGAGTTGAATGCAATAGTTATGTTTTCTGCTCAGTGGGTACTTCGAGCACTAGGTGCATGAAATATTTTCGAACTTGCTATGCAAAAGCACATTAATCCGTGTCTCTTTTGTAGTAGGTGGCCCGCTATAAACCGTGAATTGACGATAACTGCATGTTCCGATGCCCGATAGCAATGTACGCTTGTATCATGAATTACTACTGCGATAATGCATGTGGCATTGTGAAGCATGTATACAGGACGCGTGTCTTTGTAAAGCATGCAAGTTGCTTTCACTTGCAGGTTCGATCCTCACCGAGACCCAGAATGTTTATTACTATTGATTTTATTTCCACCTTTCTCGGTTTTTTAATCCCGTACAAAATGATGATTTTGCAGTCACAACCAACGGCACCGACACCAGAGTATCTGTGAAACGAGCTCTTTAACACTATCGCATTGAAACCTTCGTTTCAAACCGAGCGCTTGTACATGCCATACATCTACGGGTAGGTCGCTTTTCATGTAGGGCTTCCACCTTCTCGGGTTCCTTTGTAGACCTTGCCCAATTTTTGTGGCACGTACCACTTTATGATGACAGCTTTTCGTGCACACCTGTTTGTACACACCAAAGTTTTTAAAGCAGGCTGAAACAACTTGACATTAAAGAGGAGAGGGCAGCACTTTATCAGAGAATTACTGCTGTTGAGGACACTTGCTAACTCCACTGGTGTAAATGGTGCGAGCTCTGTGGGTGCTCTAATGTGGCAACACTTCATCTCGAGGATCATGTTGCAAACTGCATTTGAAGCCTCCCAATTGTACGTATTACTATGCGCTGTTATCAAAGTGGGCCTATATTTTGCAACCCTTAATTATCCTACCTTCATGAGTGACCCAGTTTGGTCAGCTCGAATAACTGCACATTGGAAGAAATGGGAAGAGCCAAAGGAGACTTTCACTTAATTATCTAGCCTAATTAAGCTGTGACATTGAAACAGCCATCAAGCACGCTTTCCGGATGGCTCAGTTAGCTAATAGGAAAGAACACTGTAAAAAAAAAAAAGGTAATCGTTGCAGGACAGTCTTTACAGAATTAACTGTAGCACTTCCACTATGCAAAGAAAAAAAAGATTCAACTCTTCCTTACATTGACTATGGGACAGAATCTCACGGGTTTTTCCTGTAGCTCTCTATCACAACTGGCCCAGGAATAATTGGTTCTGAGGTATACGAACTGGTCAGTGGGCCGAGTCGGGGGAGTAGCTTCAATGTGTTAACATGCACTCGCATCACATGGTAAACGGTCTTCTAGCAGTTGAGCCTCGTGATTCTCATACAACTATGGTGGGCTGATCCCTCCCACTCCAGCTTTAGATGTGCATGGGCTAGCAGTGTGACATAAATAAATGAGTAAATACTAGAGCAGCTTAATTAGCCAAGTGGAAACGACTCGCCATGGTCCACACGTGAAGAACTAGCGACAGAACCAAGTAGACGAGGTTGACTGCGACCGGTGTCTTGAACATGGTGGCGACTTCCTTGAACTGGCCAACTTGGAAGGCGTAAGTATTAAATATCGCGAGGCACATGACCAACAGGCTCGACACGATGCAGAAGTCTTGGATGCTGCGAGAAAAATTGACAACGAGTGGACACATGTTTAGGCTCCTCAATTCACAATATATGTATGTGCGGCATTTCAGATGACCCATGCACTTTTTAAAAATTCTTACAGATTGTGTTTCCAAATAGTTAGACCACTGCATGAAAAGTAAACCGCAAAGAGCAGTGTACGAGTGTAATGATTAAGCTAATGATTAGGCGAATAAGTAATACACATAAATTAACTACCTTACTCTGTGGCACATATTACAGCTGATGATAGCCGTAAAATATTCAATGCTTATGTCAGTGAAATGAAACCTAGGAAAGCCATGGAGTTCGTGATGCATGTCATCACAAACTTGCCATCAGAATGCCCCGTTGATCGTTCTAGTTACTCTTGCAACTAACCCTGCATTGAAGTACAAAAGCGAGTGGATTACACCTACACATTTATTCACGGATTTTCGTGCATAATATCTTGCACTTGGTGTTTCCTGAATATTTGTTCAAATGGACGTGCCTAGTGCACCTGCTGGCTGAAATATGTCCAGTGAATAATTACATCAATAATTTAAGCAGAATGTATGTTATTCAGCTGCTACTTAGCGTGCGTCTACCTATAAACGCCCGGTGTATTGTACAGTAAACATCCTCAATAAACTTTTTTTTTTCATAAAAATTTCAAGTTTCAAAGTATTTTAATGAACTAAAAAGAATTTAGGGGTTCGTTTAGCTTTCGTTAGCTGCAACTTGGAGTAGAACTAACGGACAACCAAGCCAAGAAATTTCAGGGGATATCTGTAGTAATTATGGCGTCAATGTGAAGAATTTAATACGAACGATAGTACAACTTTTCGCCGGCGGGGATCCGAGCCTGCGACCTTCGAACAACGCCTCTGATTCGCTTCCGATCGAGCTACGGCAGCGGTCGTTTTGGAGTTCACTTTACAGGGTATATCTGTGCATTTAAACCGAAGAGTATTAGTGTGGGAGTGCATGATTGTCTCCCCAAGATTTAAAGCTTCTGCGTTACCCATGAAGCACACTGCACATAATTAACCGCCAACGCTCACATGAAAAACAGTAGCAGGGTGACCGGCGAGCCTCCGTAGAGTTCGGTACATTATGTTCAGCGTCACGTCAATGGCCAAGAGCGCGAACTGAAGCAGTATTACCAATCCAATGCGGTCGCTCCGCATGTTTACTGAAGAGCGTGCCGAAGCGCGTTTATTTACAAGCGGTTGCCATCACAACCGCGCGAGTAACTGGACCGCAGTTAATGTTATAAAACATTAGTGAAAATTAGCTTATTAGTAGTTGCAACAGTATATCGGCAAAATAATTCCGTAGAAGCACTATTTAAAACTACGTTGCATTTAGTTGTTCGTGGACCATATAGTATTACGTATTGCAAGCGCGCGCCTTGCAAACATTCCTCTATGGCCGCGCACATGGTGTCGTGTTCTATGGATCTCAGGTGTCGTCTCCGGTGTAGAGGTAGTAGAGAACTAGGCATGGTGTCAGTTGCGTCGCGTGAGGATAAAAGCGTTGTCGTTAGAGCTCCAGCAAGCAAAGCATTGGGCGTGTTGAAATGGATGAACAGCGTCGCTCCGGTGGACAAGAGGTCCATCTCCTGCAAGACATGTATGTATGCATTCTGTTACTAATGAAATCGCGGTAATTTTGAAAGCAATACCATCATTTATTTTCTTGGTCTGACCATCTTGCATGCTTGTTATACGCGTGCACGTGTGTGGGCGCTCATTTACGCCGTACTTAAAAGGGTTGTGTGGGTGGCATGAGTTTCAGGCCCACCAAACCGTCCCCTGGATTCACCAGTGGTGCGAATGTTAATGCACGGGATGATAACAGTTTTTTTTTTTTCAGCTCCAGAGAAATGTCTTACCTAAATTTTTTACTGAAAGGTCGCTGGTGCTTATATAACCATGGTGTCAACGGAATGCGACCGACTAGATGTTAAATAAGGACAAATTCTTACAAACCATGCTACTCAGCATGGATGCTACGAACTGCAAATTGTGCAAGTGTACAAACAAAGGAACTGGGCAACACATGTTTGTGCTGTCTCGTTCCGATACTTCGTGTTAATGTTTGCGTCTCTCATTTTGTTTCGCAATGAATCTGTGCCAACTGGTTCAGACTTGCTGTCCGTTTGAATGAATCAGTTTTACTCGTTTTTTTTTTTTTTTCAGATGCCTGGATGCCATTACTGGCTTCAGAGTAGTGAAGTGGTTCCGGCATGTTGTGCTGCCACGTTCCCTCGCCGATTACTACTACACAAGACTGCAAAGACAAGCGTTCGCTTAAGGATCATCTCGTACCTGTGGTACGTACGGTTTCAATAATTAACATAGTAGTGCTGTTGCGTCATTTGTGTGACAAACGTTGAGTCAGAATAAGGGGTACTTCTTTTTAAGAACTAGAACGTTGTAATCGTGAGATACAAAGAAATGGGAGTAGTTTAAGAACAATATAAAATGTATTCTTTATCTTTCAAACTCTTACTGTTGTAGTATATGAGTTCTGCCTATGGAGCCAGCTAATTGAACAGCTGCCCTTCACCCATAGACGTGCCCAGAGTTCCCCATCAGGAGGGGGTGAAGGTTCATTGCAGTGCAACAGCCCCTGCCTACTAAGTTAATGTGCCCCCCCTTTGGTAACTAAAAAAGGTGCCCCCCCCCCAACCCCCTTCACATGCATTTAGCTATGACGTCACCTGGAAAGGCATAGGCAGATTAGCTTTTGAACCCTATGTTTTTGCAGCTAATGTAAATACCTCCTACACTGAGAGTCAAACATTCGTCATCACTCTCTAAAACATTATCTCGGGCTGAATAGCGATGTCAGTTTCTCTGGCGAAGTTCATCAGGACGTTCAAGTCCGAAAATGAGCGGAACAAACATCTGTCATTTAGGGAAAGGCTGAAACACTGGTGAAGTACTTGATGCCACAAAAGTAAGTGAGCGCTATTGTATCAAGTAGTTGCAGCTGGCCGGGGCCGAGACAACTGGCATTTCTAGAACAAAGGCATCCGAAACCAGGAGTCGTTCTGCGACGTTTCCGCTAAGAGAGAGTGCATGCGCCGTGGCATCTGGGAAAGGCTAATTCCTCTGTAGAAGAGACAGGCATGGCTGGGGGCAAAACAGCCATTTTTTTCTTATGCTGCTGTCGTGTACACTACCTTTCTTCGCATTTATTTTCCTGTTACACACAGGTGCTACACGCCAAGTCCATCGAAGCAGATTTGGCCGAGAGTCCTGTCACCGCAGCGGCCCTCGTTCACATCAGGAAATGCACGCAGCTGGAGAAGCTCACTTTCTCCTCAGTTCGTTCGAATGACTCGCTCTGCGAAATGAGTAAGCCCCTCGTTTGTGGGCCATCTGCACGTGCACTGATACCAACCTCCGAGACAGCTTGATAAAAAATTATCAAGCTGTCTCGAAGGTTTTCTCATCTGAGTGAAGGTTTTCACCTTGTGTCATAGTGAAAGGGATGGCCTATGCAGCTTTAAGTATCTGTGATTGAAAGTTGTATAGAATGAAAATGCCATTGGAGCCATGTTTTTAATGTCTGCTACAGTGATGTTACCTTTTTTGATGAATTCAAGGTATTTCAAGCTTTTTTCCTCCCCTGAACAGGGTGAAATTGTGTTTCTAACAGACGATATGGTCCTTGAAAATTCACAAGCATAGCCTAGAAAAATTCTTGAAGACCCTTGAATTTCCGTCATGTAAATGAGCACGAGCCCTGTGCTTGGGCGAGTTGGCTCATGTTTATGACAGATTACGACAGAGGCGCTTTGTGTGTTTGTCAGAATCCCTAGACATTCTGTCTTTTTGCGCTGGTAAAGTCCGTCAAGAACTGATTGGCTGCAAGAGCATGGGTTGTGAGGAATATGCTGTGTGTACTGTTTAATATTTCCAGGTCTCCTGGAGACTGTAAAGTGCTTCCAGAACCTGAGGTGGCTTGAGCTGAGTGGTGTCAGCGCGGTCACTGACACAGTGCTTGCAGCCATTGCCGAGCAGAACAAACTCCTCACGGTCCTCAAACTGAATGAGTGTGTGAACATTGGTGACGGGGGCCTTGAAGCGTTGGGACGGAATTGCCACTTTTTGAAAAGCCTCGACTTCTCATCGACGCAGGTCAGTTGGTTCTGCAATCTGAAGAGGGTTCCCTTACCCATTCCTACTAACCCCTAAATCCCTGAATTATGAAATCGCCACAAAAAATGAAAAATTTTTTTCATTTTTCAAATAGCAACTTTTAATTGATTCTACAGTAAAGAATCTAAGATACAACTTTAATGTATACTTTTAGTTGAGAATTCCTCATATGCCATAGAAGCAAGGACCTTGCAACAGAAAGTGTACTTCAGAACTACGTAACATGTTGTGAGCCACCTGTGGGTTGCGTGCTCACCAAACGAACAAAATTGTTGAACTTTGAACTTGAGTTACTTGGGCGAGAAAGAACGAAAGAGTGAGAGCTATCGCATGTGCCTCACGCTGTCCGCCATCAGCTACAAAACACTTGATTTTAGCGTTGAATATCTTACTTGAGACGGTGCTAGATTTTTCTTGCTGAAAGCTAAGCTCCCCCTGAGTACTTGACAGCTGGCATTGAAGGGCCCGTAAACCACCTCGATATTTTCTCAAGCATTTCAAGTAAACACAAGCATCGTGTGCAGAATGCCATCGCGATCAACGATTCTGCAAGTGGCAGCAGTACGAGCTGCCAGCACGCCACAAATTACAAAAAGCAATCCCTTCTTCTTTCCAGGACATTCAGGCCTCCGCGTGACGTGCCGAACGAATAATCTCAGACACGCCGTTCAAATATGTTCACTAGCCACAATATATGCTGTTATTTATCGAGCAAGAGCCTACTACTTCCGGTTAGTCTGCAAGCAGCTGTCTGTGCTGCTTGTTGTTGTTTGTCGTGTTACTCGTGCACGTGTGAGTGAGTTCATGGTGTTGGCAATCCTTCGAAAGCGTGAGCGCAACGCTGGGTACATACCGGCACACTTTGTGTAACACGCACGGGCCGGCACAGAAGCCACGGTTCGCCTACAAGCAACCGGAAGTAGACGGTGTTTTGAGCAGCGCATCAGCGATGAGGTATGCCACACAAGGTTGGGAGGGGCGCTCGGTGAGAGGGTAAAGCAGGTTTTGGGAGAGGACACCATGTAAGGGAGCGCAAAAGTGAGAGGAAGGAGCGATCATCGCAGTTTCAATAATGCGATCCGTCTAACTCCGCTATTATGGCACCGTTTTGAAAAATTCTCATGGCTCCATGTTCGTCGAACGCTCTGGCACAATTTCCCCACCACAAATGAATATCCACCTCTGGGTGGTTTGCGGGCCCTTTAAGGGGGGACACAGGTCTTTCAGATGAAAAAAAAAAAATCGCGAAAAAAATCGGTTTTTTGAAAGTGGAATTTTCATAAAATACAAACATTTTCACGTGTTTCCCACGTCGTGGATAATTATATAGGCTGCAATACCAATTTATGTAAGTACCGTATGCTATATTTTGAGTGAAGGAATCGCAAAAATGGGCTGTTTTTTAAGCCGCATTAACGCTGAACCTTGCAAGCTATTATTGCCAGATTAGTCATGCTGGAAAGAACTGTTTTTCTTCTTGAAGTTCTCGCCACAATTTAATTCGTACGCCTATTTGCTGTGTAGTAATACCGCGTCGAAAAAAAGTCCCAGAGCGCGGCTCCATTGGCCTATTTTGTGCACGTGACTATGCACGTGATTCTGTGCAGCCCTGTAATTGGTGCAGCTAGTTGGTGTCATATGTTGTTGGGCATTGACAGGCTTGAGAAGGATAGCACGACACCATTGTGAAAATTGATTGTTGCGTGCAAGGATGTCCGAATATCGCAAGTTTGCCACGCGAAATAAGTTGGGCAAGAAAAGAAAGCAGGCGCATTACAACTTCAAAAGGCGCCCCGATCCTGTCGAAGTTATCAGCGATGACTACTTGCTGGCAACCCCAAGCAAAGTCCGCTGGGGCTCCGAGGTATACCGGCAGCTAGCCTCGTGATAGCGAGATATGCCTAACGGCGTCCCCTGCCGATAGTGATCGGAGAAGCACTGTTCGTCATGACACAAGGATGGTTCCGCAAGCAGAATTGCTTCAACGGCAGAAGGACACAGAAGATAAACTTCAACGGCTTGCACAAACATCAGCGACTGAAAGGAAATCGCACGTCTGTGAGCGTCAGCGATGGTGCGGACAGGCCGGCGGAGATGAAGTCGCACTTATTTATTGTCGGTGAAGAAACGATGAGTGTTCTTTTCTCGCGCATAAAGTGCACTCTGTGTGGCAGCTTCATGACTTTCGACACAGACGAGCACGAATACGGCCTTGCCATCAAGCTTCTCTGGTTTTGCAAGAAGTGCGGCGATGTTTTTTCAGAGTGGAGCTCGGCGCGCTCAAAAGATGGCACGACGGTGAGTCCCTTCATTGTAAACCTTCTGTTCACTCGTGTAATGGTGTGCACTGGGAATCGACAGATGCAAGTGAATGATATTTTCGCTGCAATGAATATATCGCACCGCAACTTTCATACTAAAAAGTGGCAGAACTACCTGGCGCCGGCGGCCTCAACAGCAGCACAAAAACTGATGGGCGAGTGCACCGCATCTGTAAAAACGCTACACAGTGACCTGAATGTCACTAATTCCGGCAATATGGTGGTATCCTATGATGGCACGTGGATGACACGCGGCCATTCATCGCACATGGGAGTTGGCACCGTCATCGAACTGTTTTCAGGACTTGTGCTCGACTATGTTGTGTTGAGCAACATCTGTGCAGGTTGTGCGCGCGGCCCGAAGCTGGACGACCCGTATTATAAAAGTTGGAAGGTAAACCATCTGTGCCAAAAAAAAAATACGAACAAAAAAACTGGATAAGTAAAAGTTTAAGCAGCACTAATACTTCTTCAGAGGTCACTTCAGGTGCACCAACTGAGGTACACCTCAGTCCTCTCGGACCGTGTTAGTCGCTTACTTCTGGCTCTCAAGCAACACAAGTGTATGGATTTGTGCAAATTGAAGAAGAAGATTGCATTAATCACGTGCAAAAAAGAATGGGCACGGCCCTTCGTGCACTCATTTCAAAACACAAGGGCTCGACTTGAGATGCTTTAGGAGAAAAAGGCAAGTTGACTGATGACTTGATAACCAAACTTAGTTCGTACGACGGATAGGCATTGAAGTCAAATAAAGGGAATGTCAAGGACATGCGGAAAGCTGTCATGGCAGCATATCACCACCAAACCTCTAATGACAATGTTTCTGACCACAGTCTTTGCCCATCAAGTCCGAGGTCTTGATGCCGTCAGAATGCTGCTCAAGCAAAAAATGAGCCCATTCCAAAACACAGATATGATTTGCCTTTACAAGTCCGTGAAGCCCTTTGCCCAGTGTATGAGCGCCTTTCGGAAGAAAAACTGTTTGAAAGGTGTCGGCGCAGTATGACCCAGTATAATAATGAATGCTTGCATTCAATTATTTGGGCATTGGCTCCAAAAGAACAGCATGCCTCGCTTTTTTGCTGTTGAAGCTGCTGTGGCTGAAGCAGTGATGAAATTCAATTCAGGGAATGCGAGAACTTCATCTGCCATTCTACAGCAGCTTCATTTGAGTTCAGGCCAACCAAACAGCCAGAGAATGGCTGAGCTAAAGACAACCGGCGTGCAGCAGCATCAGCGCACAAGCGTGCATCTGCAGAAAATCTGCAACAAACTTTCAAGAAGTGCCACTCTGGTAGCTCGCAGCAGAGAGAGTACATTCCTGGTGGCTACTGATCACATACCTAGGTGTATGTGCCATTATTTCTTGTTACTTCTCAATAAATATGACCCTTGTTTGTTTTTGTTGATTTTCTTAATTCCTGAATTCTTGACGCTTTGCGACCATTCGGAAGCAATTTTTCAGTATCCAGAGCAGCTATAATTGTCATTCTTGTTGCAGTGCGGAGCCAAATAATGGTTTCCACAAGCGTAGGAGACCATTTTTGCATTTATGTGTCAGTGTTTCTTTATTGTTCATTTATTCAAACAATTGATTGGTAACATTTTGTGCAGTAAGATTTCATGAGCTCTATAATTGCTAATAGATGTCATATCAAAAACTACAGGCCTGCGCGGTAGGCGCCGCACAGTCACAGCGAAAGCTAGAAGAGCGGCCTTTCATAGCCTTTTCAAAACACTCATTGGGTAACTACTGTAAGCACACTTGCTTGGTACTTACTAGTGCATTAATAATAAACTTTTGGGCAGTACGCTGGCATTCGCTATGCTTATTTTCATCATTCTTTTGAGAAGCCTGGTATCTATTTATTTATTTATTTATTTACAGTACCTACAGCGCCCGCGAGGGGCATTAGTGTAGGGGGGAGATAACAATTTTGAAATGCAGAAAGGCGACAGTCCATTAACACTGAGTTGAACATAAAAGAAATACAGATACATAATAAAGCATCCAATGGTGACACATAATAAACATTGACGTGTGTGAAGGTACAGCAGCAAGAAAAGAAATAAACATATAAAATGCATACGCACACACACATATATATATATATATATATATATATATATATATATATATATATATATATATATATATATATATAATGAGATATAACAGACAGTAATGCCAAGGAATGTACAGGGGAAGTTATTAGAACCAATGGAATGTAAATAAGAAAGAAGAAAGAAAAGTGGATGAAAAAATTACCAGCTGTGAGCAGGAGGTTCCTGCTCACAGCTGGTAATTTTTTCATCCACTTTTCTTTCTTCTTTCTTCTTATTTACATTCCATTGGTTCTACTAACTTCCCCTGTACATTCCTTGGCATTACTGTCTGTTATATCTCATTATTATTGTGTTAAAACACGGAAATACGAGCCCTTAGGTATACACTTCTCTCCCTTATATATATATATACATATATATACACACACAGATAAAAACAGGCGGAAAAAAAAGAAAAAAGATCTGGAGCGTAGATCGCTAGAGAGACGAAACGAAAGTGTAGGCAACTTTAGTGTGTGCTCAGGCTACGATAAAATATGATGTTCCAGCGCAGTGATGAATGTTTCCCTGGACGCGGCTACAATTTCA